ATTCATCCAAACCTAATTACGAAGCATGATTCTTCGCCAAATAGGATTCCGAAGCACCAGAAGCAGCCACGTAGGCTCAGCGCATTCTGGAATTATATATAGGGAGGATATCATATCTATATAATTGCTAGCAAAACAATTAATAAAAATATTTTCGTTTCCTTCCATGTTCGGTTACAAAAATTATCATTAATATTTTTTTTACCTTTCATATTAATGCACACTATCAAGTGATTATCACACTATTAAGTGTAATCATGTATTTTTTGTTAATATTATATATTAGTTAATGCTAATACCAACTAATAATATTTCACAATGAATATAAATTACATATATGTAAATATTATTGTTTCAAGCTATTTATTTTAAAATCAATATTATCTTCTTCTTTTTTTGTCTCATGAAACAATTTTCTATAAAAATAATTAATAAATATTTTAATAGCATAATCAAAGTAAACAACTTAAAAACTTATAAACAATAATAATAATAATAATAATAATAATAATAATAATAATAATAATAATAATAATAATAATAATAATAGTTTTTCAACTAAATTATTGGACCACTATCCCACCAAATTATAAAATTACATTACCTGCAAACTTTTTTTCAATCAAAATTGTATTATAAAAATGTGATATGTCTATTATCTGAAATTTTAATATTAAATTTACACATATTACTTCTAGTAGTATATGTAGATATGTGCATGTGCACGAGATGTAATATGTATCTACTTAAATATATTTCATCACTCATATTATTAGTATATCATTTTCTATATCGAATTTAATTTAAACCTACATGCTTTATTATTGATTTAAACCTTGTTGATGTACTCTACAATAATAATAAAAAAAATGTATACTTATTAAGTGAAAATTCATACTTTTAGTTATACTGTTTTTAACAATACGACATTCAATTTGAAATTATAATGTGCTGGAAAAATAACTATTTATTCTTAGAGCACGACATTCAGTTTAAAATTATGCATATACGATGAATAAATATATGTGTCTGCATATCGTTGTGTTTAACGTTTTTTTGGATGCTTAGCAATAATTTTAATATTGACTTGTTGAGTAATTGAGTTATTGACACAAAT